CTAGAAAATGGAATAATTCTATTATCTTTTTGGAGGGTGGCAGGGTTTCTCTGTATAGCCCTGGCTTTCCTGGAACTTGCTCTGCGGACCAGGCTGGCCTCAAACTCACAGAGATACGCCTGCCTCCGCCTCCCGAGTGCTGGGATTAAAGGCATAAGCCACCAATGCTCGGAGTCCTAGCTAGTTTTGAATTGTAGGTAATCCTCCTGCCTCAGCCATGCAAATACTGGGGTTGTAGGGTAAACCACACCAACTCAAATACAGGAAAGTCCTTCAGGAAAAGCATTCCTAATTAAGACTGAGTAAGACCCTCATGTACTATCCTCCATATTTCTTCACCTATTCCTAAGGAGGGAGTAAAGACCCTTGGATATACCTCGGGTACACTACTGTCTCATTAGTCATGACACTGAGGAGAGGGGCTGACAGTCTGAGGGAGGTCAGTGCTGGGAAAGGATACTGGTCAGAAGTTCACATTCTTCCTTCTGTCCCACTTGGCAGATGCTGAGGGTTGGGAAGGCAAAAGCAGACGTGTGGCCCAAAACTGCTCCAAAGAAAGGTGAGAGCCGGGCAGGGAACAGGTGAGTTAGGAGCAGCCCTTTCAATAACAGTTCTAGACTTTTCACTTTTGTTTTTAGATGAGAACAGCTTGGTTCCTCCGGCCCCTGTGGACAGCGATGGGGAGAGTGATAACTCTGACCGTGTTCCTGTGCCCAGTTTCCAGAATTCCTTCAGCCAAGCTATTGAAGCAGCCTTCATGAAATTGGACACACCAGCTACTTCAGATGCCCTCTCTGGTAAGAGCGGGGAACTCACTCAGCACTGGGCTCAGGCTCAGCCATATATGCCACTGTTCCTGTCAGTATTGGTAGCAGTAGTAATGACTCAGGCTCTTAGCCACTGGACCATCTGTCCAGCCTACACTTAAGAGTTGGTTGAGGGTGATGGGCAATGTTAACCTCAGTGCCTGAGACACCTGTGCTCCTTAGGCAGGGATGGGGTAGCAGTGAAATTCCAAAGCCTGCACTCACTCAGCTGTGAGTGAGGTAGGGTATGAGTGTGAGAGAGTAGGGAGAGAGGGCGCTAAGACCTTCTGTTTCCTTCAGAAGACAGAGGAGGAAAGAAACGGAAGAAGCAGAAACAGAAGCTCCTGTTCAGCACCTCGGTCGTCCACACCAAGTGACACTACTCGCTCACCCAGGCACCTTCTCCATCTGGTTTCTTTTTCTGTGCTTTTGTTTTGCTGCTGTAATTTTTAAGTATTTGAGTTTGAACAGATTGATTAGCTTGGGGCGGGGGGAGGGGGTTTCCACAATGTGAGGGGGAACCAAGAAAATTTTAAATACAGTGTATTTTCCAGCTTCCCGTCTTTACACCAAAATAAAGTATTGACACTCACAAGACATGTCTTCCTGCCAAGCTTAGTTATCTGTAGGCTAGTCTTTTTTTTTTTTTTTTATGTATATGGGTGCTCTATCTGCATGTATGACTTTATGCCAGAAAAGGGCATTGAACCCAGAGGTGCTGGGAATTTACCCCAGGACCTCTGGAAAGCAGTCAGTGCTCTCAACCTCTGAGCCATCTCTCCAGCACTAGGTCAATATTTTAGATTTAGTTATTAATGTTCTCAACCCAAAGTGAGCTTGAGTAGTCTCTTCAGTGTCCTTTGGAGCAACCCAAATCGGGTACAGCATCACTGTGTGGTCCTGAGCTTCCTGGAATCTGTGGTTAGTTAAAATAGTTGACTCTTTCCTATCTGTTAAGTTCTTGTCAAAGATTCCAAGGACTAGGAGTGGGCAGAGTTGAGACATCCAGTTTAACACCTAGGCTTAGGGAACCACTGTGAGCTCCATGCTGGGTGGCTACAGTAGAAAAAAGTCAAAAGAGGAATTGGACGTTTTTCTTGTGGGAAGTGGCCACTATGGCCAGATCTCAGCTGGCAGCCAGCCCCAGGGTGACTTACATGTGAGGGAGGGTTTTGCCTATTGAGCTTATTACCTTTACCAAGAAAGCTCTGGCCCTGTCACTCCCCCTAACGGCTTTCAAAAAGCCTATGTTATTTTGTCTGCAGGTATGTCTGTGTGTTGTTTGAGTGAATGTTAAATTGAACCCAGGCACTCTGCAAGAACAGTCAGTACTCTCAACCTCTGAGCCATCACTCCAGCTCTTGACCTCAGGCTTCTTTTAAGTGAGTGGTTTAATGGAGGCATAAAGGGTGGCTTTTACTGCTGTGAAGAGACACCATGACCATGGCAGTTCTTATAAAGGAAAACATTTAATTGGTTCTGGTTTAGTTTCAGAGGTCTAGTCCATGATTTATCTTTAACATGAAAAATAAAAGACCCAAAGACTAATATTGGGCTTCAAGCTGAAGATCAGAGAAGCAAAGCAGCCAAGCCAGTAGATCTTACCTCTACCAAGCTGAAATGGCAGTTCTGTCTCTACAAATCCCCAGAAGCAAAAGCTGTCTGTTCCTTTTTCCACCCAGCCATATCACTCCTGTCTCCACTTTTCAAGTGCTGGCATTAAAGGCTACCGAGTCCAGCCTGTATCAGTCCCATGCTACAGAGGCCATCTATTCTGGACTGATGTCTTTGGGGCTTTGATCGAAACCAGCTGAGCAGCCCCGGGTCTAACCCTGAGCAGAGCCGGGGAGTGTGAATCAGGAAGCCCTAGCTACTCAACAATCTTATCTCAGGAAGGCTCCCAGCCAGTACTGGAGACGACCCCCCCCCCCCCCCCCCCGTTTATTCAAGCATCTCTTAAATAGCTTTCCAAAAGTGGGGGTAATCGAAGAAGACATTATGTATAAAGCTGATGTCAAATATTTCCTTTAATCCTCAAGAAAGTTCTAGAAGGCACGTACACAAGCCCTCAGACATTATGTTAGGGCAAGTCTCATTAGTTCCTTACTGTCTCCAGGCTTGTCCCACCAGCTCCCATGATGGGTGTGTCCACCCAAGGGCCTAGGTCTATTGTTAGACAAACTAGGAACCATTCCCCACCAAGGCCAGGCATCCAGAGGTAATCAGCCTGCACCTGGGAGGAGCTGATGCTTGCATCCAAAAAAATAGTATTTGGGCCCTGACAAAAAGGCATGTGATCCCAAGTGCTGGGATCAAAGGCTGGAGCTCTGTTACACTTGACTCTTATATAGGCCAAAGTGGCCTTGCTTGAACTCAAGAGATCGTCTACCTTTGTATCCTGAGTCCTGGGATTAAAGGTGTATACCACCACTGCCAAGCTTCTACAGCTAACTAGCGTGGGTTTGCTTTCTGATACTTCAGACAATCTTTATTAAATCATAAATAATACATCTTCATGGCAAGAAGCTTGGCAGCATACAGGCTGACCTTGGTGCTAGAGAAGGGGCTGAGAGACCTCAAAGTGACACACTTCCTCCAGCAAGGCCACACATCCTATAGTGCCATTCCCTATGGGCCAAGTGTTGAAACACATGAATTTATGGGGGTCATAATGAAGGGACCAGCTCCCCATTTTGGCAGCCATAATAGCTGAACAGGTGCTTGTCTGACCTTGTCTTAGTCTCTAGGAGGTCAGATGTCTTGTCTCGTGGTAAGGAACCAATCAGAAGTTAGCTGGTGGCGCTATGCTTTACGGCTCTGGGTGTGCTTTACTGACAAGTGCACAGCAATGATGTGCAGAGCATAGCAACCACCTTGGGAGGGCCTATGGGCCATAACAACCAGTTGGCCAATCAACACAGGGCAAACCCTCCAAGCCTGTGCATACCCCTAGACACTCCCCTTTTGCTGCCCTACAAGATCTTTATGCAGACTCTTCTGTCTTTCTAGCCAACAGACATGGGTGGATGAAAGACCCGAGCTAACATGGGGTTAGCTCATCAAACAACTATAATAAAGCCTCGTGCAGTTTGCATCAAGTTTCCGTCTCTGCATGGTGATTGGGGTGGCCAAGGTCCTGGGCTGAGATCCTGGAGGCCTGTGCTTCTGAGGGGGTCTTTCAATACCTATTTAAGCCACAGTAAAGGGTGAGTCCATAACCATTGTGGGAAGTGGAATGCTTCTACAGAAGTAGTTGGCAGTTTGTATCTGATCCATTAGCATGAGGCAGAGGGCTAATGGGGAATGGTATAGGCTTTTGAAACACCCCATGACAGCTCCTCCAATAAGGCCCCACCTCCCATCCTTCCCAAACAGTCAGACCATCTGGGAACCAGAGTATTTAATATATGTGAGTCATTCTCCTTCAGAAAACCCCACATGCTAGGATTATATTCCCACAGCATTTCCTATCAAGTCACCTGAGCAATGGTCAGCTAGGTATCCTGGTGTTTGTAGTCCTAGGATACAGTACTAAATTGACCTAGATTATGCAAGTGTAGTTGGTTATTCATCGATATTTCTGCTTTACACGAGTCTACCCCACCCCCAACCCCCAACACTTTCTATGTGTAATCCTGGCTGTTCTGGAATTCACTCTATAGACCAGGCTGGCCTCAAACAGATCTGTCTGCCTCTGCCTCCTGCTGCTGGAACTAAAGGAGTGCACCACCACGCCCAGGTTTGCATGAGTTCTTATAGTAAGGGTCTAGGAATATTTAAAATCCATTAGTACCACAGGGAGCACATCCAAGGCCAGAGGACAGACCTGGCCAAGCATCAACTATATAAGTACTTTTTGCGATTTACCAATGTTGCCCTGGAAGCCAAGACCATTTGTTCTACCCACTCAGCTCAACAGTTACATACAAAATGTCTGTACAAGGGTTCCAGGAGTGTAGATGGTGCTTTGGTTGGTAGTCAGTTTGGAGAACTGTGTGCTGCTGCTGCCAACTCTCAGTTTGGTGGCTCCACAAATGGGCTGGAGAATGGGGCCACTCACTCCACTATTTCCACAGCCTCCTCACCAGCACTGTCTGAAAGCTCTTCCGCAGACTCTTTCTCCAGTAAACAGCTTCTTGAGACAGACTTCCTAATGGCTTCCCGCTCCCCTAGAGGAACGGAAGACATCCTTGGTCATCAATCATCTTACCACTGAGCCTCAGGCACCACCTGCCCTGGCCTGTTGCCTACCTTCATCAGTGCAATTCTGCAACAGGATCAACAGCTGTCTCCGGTTGTACTGAATCAGGAATTTCTGACAGGTTCTAATAGTACCTGGTGCATGACAGAGCTTCAGTGGACAACGGCTTTACACAAGCTACCATCACTCTTACCTCCCACGTGTAACGTGTTGAAAAAACACGGATATCGGTGTCCTTTGTTCTCCAGATATGTAATGAAAGGGAGAGCTGACCACACAAGCTGGTAGAAATCCTTTCGGCATCGCAGTAGCACTACTCCAGTGTAGGCATTGAGGTATCGAACTACAGTAGGAAGCGAAAACTGGAGAACTTCCCATTTACAGGAATAGAAAAAAAAAAAAAAAAAAACCCGGAAAATCCCAGTATATGCCAGTGACTGTTCTAGACAAATGTCTGGGTGGATGCATCACTGAGTAAATTTGTGATGTTTTGCCCTTTGGGACCAGAGTTAGATAGTCGCCATGTGGTGCTGGGAATGGAACCTTGGTCCTCTGAAAGAGCCACAAATGCTCTTAACTGCTGAGTCCTCTCCAGCCCCACCAGTCTCACTTAAAAAAAAAAAAAAAAATTGTTGAAAGGTTATTTCCTTTGAAACAGTCCCATTATGTCATCCTAGCTACACCAAAACCTGTCTGCCACGATGCTCAGCTTGAAATTTTATGATAAACCTTCCAGTGACCATCACTCAGGTCAATATATAAAGTGAGAGAGAAGTTCTACGGCCGTCCCATTTCAGCAGGAAGTAACTTGGAGGATGATAGGCCGCCCCTCCCTTCCCCCATTATTGTCTATTAGGGTAGTGCTAGTTAGGGATAGCTTACTATTGTTTATGGTTGGGATTGGAAGGAGGTGTCCAAAAACAGCAGGGGGAAAAAAAAAACTTTCCGGTAAAACAGGTGTCTTTACAACCGGTTTCTGTGGGTAGGTCCCTCTTTAACGTAGTCTCACCCAAAGCAAGAATTTGTTTACGTGTGTTTAATTCTGCAGAATTCACGTTTAAGATTACGGTAAAACGAGACCAGCCTGGTCTGCAAGAGCTAGTTCCAGGACAGCCTCCAAAGCCTGTCTCAAAAAAACAAAAAACAAAAACAAAAAAAAAAAAAAAGGAAAGAAAAAAGATTAAAGTAAAAGAAGCTAAAATGTGACATTCGGAGAAAAAGAAAGCTTTCGAGTTCAGCACATCTTTCCACATGAGAGTTCCTGTGCACTCGTCCGTCCGTCCGTCCGTCAGAGGCGCTTTAAACTTTAAGGGATAAATCTGACATTTTAAAACGTGCTAACGTAACCTATCAGGTCAGAACTTTTACGAGGAATTCTACACGGCTACTTTGACCTAGCCCAGTAACTTAAACGGAATACCCTCCACCACCACCCCCGCCCCCGTGCTGGGTATTGAACCTTCCGCCCTGGGATGCTGCGCGATTCCCAGGCTTTTCTAGAATCCTCCAGTATCCTGCCAACCGCGCCGTGCGCCCCGGCCGCGGCGCCCCCGTACCTGCAAAGCCCACCGAACAGGCGGCTGCGCCGAAGGTCCCGTGCACCCGGGCGATCGTGTCGCGGACGAGGCCGCCAAGCACGCGGTCGTCCAGGCTCAGGCGGCAGCGCGCGTCCTCCGACACCAGCTCGCACAGAAGGTACCTGCGGGGGACTGAGGTGAGCGCGGCCCGGACACGCCGCCGCCGCCGCCGCGGGGTGCGGGGAGGACGACACTCACCTGTGCTTGAACCGCACCATGGCGTCCGCGCCGGATGAGGCAGGGAGGCGGGACTGGGCCCGATAGGCCCAGTGCCCTGTCAATCCCCGCGCCCCGCCTCCCGCGGAAAGTGTAAGAGCGCATGCGTCCGCCTCAGCCTGGCGCTGGGGATTTCTCACTCAACTTGTACGTGAGCTTGTGTTCCCCAACGGCGGACCGATTTTGAGGCCAGGCCTGCACGTAAAGCCCGAGAATGCCGCGGGAATCGGGGCCTTTACAGAAGTCAGAGCAGAGGTTTTCCCATACAGCCAAATACGCTAACTCTTTAGGAGCTCCCGCAGTTTCGTGGAGGTTTTTGTCAATTGGTTTGCAAAAACAATGTAGTACTTTCCCTCCCTCCCTCCCGTCTTTTCTTTCTTTGTCTTATGTTCCCCAAGCTAACCTCAGAATGGCTGTGTAGCCAAGGGTGACCCCAAGTTTCTGATTCCCCTGTCTCTTCCTAGCAGGTGCTGGGATTACCACTATGTGCCACTCACCACACCCAGCCCCTTTGTTTTCTGTAAGAATAGGGATGGTGAGCCCAGGACAGCCAAGGCTACACAGAGGAAACCAGAACAAACGGGGCGGGATGGGGACAGGTTATTCATTTGAATATCTTTTTGTGATTTAAAAAAACAAAAACAAAAACAGGATCTCATTCTACCTCAGACTGGAGTAGAGCTGGAAGCAATTATGCCTCAATTTCCCAAGAGCTGGGATTACAGGGTGTGCCACCATACTAGGTTCATTTCACTTAATCTTGTATGTAAAGTGCATATTCTTTTCGTTGTTTTTTGAGACAGGGTTTCTCTGTTTAACAGCCCTGACTGTCCTGGAGCTCACTCTTTAAACCAGGCTGGCCCCGGCCTCCGGAGTGCTGGGATTAAAGGCATACACCACTAGGCCAGTAAAGTGCATATTCTTACGTGTGCTACTGAGTGAAGACGATTCATATGACATAGATAGCACTTTAGTACTCTGTAAGTTCCCAGGCCCTCACCAAAGTCCTTAGAAAGAAAGAGCCACCATTCCCACTTCTGTGGAGCTGGATAGGTGTTGCCAGATCTTGGCCTTGATGTATGCATTTTACAGCATACCTGTTCCGTGCAACATGGCTATAAGTCTGCTGCTTGCATGTATTTTCATGTCACCTGTGCTGCCACAAATTTATCCCTCATCTGCCCAGTATTGCAGTAAGTTGGTCAGTATTGCCACATACCCATTGCTTACAGGTTTTCTTGTTATCCCGAGGTCGTTTTTTTAATTAGATTTATTTCTTTGTTGTATAAGTGTGTAGGCGTGTACTTGCCATGGCTGGAGTTTTGACAGTTGGTCCTCTGCTTCTAATATGGGGATCAAACTCAGGTGGTCAGACTTGGCAACCACGGCCCTCACCTCTGTGACCTTGGTTGTTTGTACATCTCTCACGGCCTCGCCTAGCCCTCTGTGGTAACATAAAGCGAGACATCTTTCGCAGCAGCTTATCATTTGCAAGATCCGGGATAAGTTCCCAGTCTCCCCATCGCCCACAGGTTTGGGGAACCAAAGCTCTCGCTTGGCACGCTGCAATCACCAACTATCCAGAACCACCGTCGGCAGCGTCCTCCTTGGCCGGTAGGCGGTGCCAGAGACCCACAGTGTGCCAGAGCTCAACCGGGCCTGGGAACTACAGCCTCGCCACCCTTCTGCCTCCCTAAAAATAGCATCCCTGACACTTCCTGGTATCAGTCTGTCAATCCTAACCCTGCGCCCGTTTTATAGCTGCGATTCAGGTCCGGGCCCGTGTCAGCTGCCTAATACCGAACAGGCCCAGAATTCAACCTTGGAAGCATTCGTCTCCGAAGTCCCAGCCGTGGTGCGCTCCAATCCACTCCTGTGCTCACTGCCCACTTAGTGTAACATAACCATAGGCGTGGGTTCGGATCCACGTCTTCCTACACTGGCCAGGTGCTGTGACACCAAGTCTCGAGAGCTCAGCTCCCCTCTCTAATTCCGATTATTAGGAATTATTAGGGTGGAGGTGGGATTCACTGGTACCGGCCACACAGTGAGCGCCTAGTGAACTAGTAAATGGTGATGAATGGCTGACACCAGGAGAAAACACCCCGATCCGAGCCAGCCAGCCAGCCGGGATGGTGCCACCCGGCCAGACGCCCCCGGTGGGCCGCCGCCGGCGCAGCCTCTCCCGGTGGTAATTAGCCCCCGCTCTCGGATCAGCCAGCCGCTAATTACACGTCTCCTAATGAGGCCGGCGGCTGTTTGCAATCACCCGGGTCCCCGCCCGCGTGGGGGCGGGAGTCGTGGGCCAGCGTCAGGCCGAGGAAGGGGCTGCGGCTTAGCTAGGCGGACGCAGGCAGCATGACTCACGCAGGGATGGAGCCTAATCCCCGCTGAGCCCAAACCTGCGCGCTGAGCCCATTCATCTCCCACCGCCTGCATCCGTGGGGTGGCGGCGCTTACTGTTATTACGGTGGTTCTAAGTCAGGTCAGATGGTCAGATGTGCGTGGATCGGATCGGATCAGGGTGACTGGAGCTTGGGTTCCCTCCCCTTCGGGTCTGACGGGTCCCAGCCACAAGCTGGCCCTTTGGATCAACCACAGGAACCAAAGGTTAGCTCCAGCAACGCAACTGGAAAAGCCTGCTTCGAAACCATTCACCGAACCCATTAATGAGACTGGAAGTGTGGAGAACTCCCTCGGAAGTGGTTGGGTGAGCAGCTACCATGATGGTTAGGGGTCAGTTGGAGCTGGCCGCCGAGCCTGAAGACCCGGGAACTCACATAATGGAATTCCTGGGATGGACTCCAGGAAGTTGTCCTCTAGACCTCCACATGCGTACACATGCCTCCCGCTAAATAAAATTTAAAAATTGCACGGTTAGATGGAGGCAACGAGGCAGAAGGCTACAAAGGTGTGCACGCCTCCCTTCCCGGAGCCTTTGCTCATTCTTATCTTTCTTGTTTGAGACAGGGTCTCGGTGTGTGACCATGGCTGGTCAGGAGTACACTATGTAGATCATGTTAGCCTCAAACTCAACAGAGGTCCACCTGGCTCTGCCTCCTGAGTGCTAGGATTAAAGACTCGCACCACTGTGCTCAGCTTTTGGGTGCTGGGGAATGTATTATGGGTACTAGGCAAGTGCTGTGCTGTGCTGTGCTTCCAAGGTACATCCCGGGTCCTGGTGTCACTGAGACTGGCACTGAGCCAGTCTCTTTTCAGTCTAGATGCCTCCATGGAGGATGGTGGCTCAGGAGACTCCAACCTGCTTGGCAGTTCCTACAGCGGCCACTGCTTCCTGCCTCTAAGTCTATCAACCAATTTCCTGCAAAAACAAAACAAAGCTAAAAACCTGGTATGGGGACAGTTTAGGCAGTTTCCATTCACTTGGCCAGGGACCTGGGGAACAAGTTCTAACTGCCTATGGACATTGTTTCCAGTCACTGGGTTTGGGGACGAGTCACTCCCCAAATGGGTGTAAAGTCCCAAGTGCAGTACTCTTTCATTTAGATCTTTCTCCACTAGGAATTTATACCACACAGATTTTTTTTAAGTGAGTGGAGTGTTTTGCCCCCTTTGAGTATCTGAGCACCACATGCCCGCAGTATTTTTGGAGGCCAGAAGAGGGCATCAGTTCCTCTGGAACTGGAGTTACAGATGGTCGTGAATCTTCATGTGGGTGCTGGGAACAGAATGTCCTCTGAAAGAGCTGCCTGTGTTCTTAACGGCCAAGGTGTCTCTCCAACCCCCACACAGTGATTGTTTACACTTATTTGACCCAGCAAAAGGCACCTCGGTGTCTATTGCAAAGAGTCAATGTGTGTGTGTAGGATTGGACGGCCACGGACCAGGGAATGTTCTAAAGACTTTGCAGTTTAAGTCAGTTACCCTCGCAGTCACTTTATAAGGCATGCACTACATGTTATTAATCCTGTTTTACACCGAAACATTTGATCCAGATAGGCTGGTGGTGAAGTTTTTGTTTGTTTTAAGAGCGCAATTGAAACTGGGTGGTGGTAGCTCACGCCTTTAATCCCAGCACTTGGGAGGCAGAGGCAGAGGATCCCTGTGAGTTCAAAACAAGCCTGGTCTACTAGAGCTAGTTCCAGGACAGCCTCCAAAGCCACAGAGAAACCCTTTCTCGAAAAACCAAAAACCAAAAAAAAAAAAAAAAAAATAGCAATTGAAACAGGTCTCATTAATATCCCTGAATGGCCTGGAATTCAGGGTTAGGCTGGCCTCAACCTGCCTGCTTCTGCCTCCCCAGTCCTGGGATCAAAGCCCTGTATGATGTATCCAACTTCGGATAGCATGTTTAACTACAATCCATATAGTTCTTCTGTCTTTATTTGCATGGGAAATTTCCAGAAGGTGACACAAGAAGCTGTTGATGGTGGCTGCCTCTGGGGAGAGAAATTAGAAGTGTTAAGTAGGAAGAGAGATTCACTTCTTATCCTGTGATTTTTTTTTTTTTTTGTAAGAGTCCCCTGTGGCCCAGACTGTCCTTGACTTGCTTGCTGTGTAGCCCAGGGCGTGTGGAGCTTCCTGCTCCACCTGAGTGAAGGAAGGGATCACAGGCGTATGACACCACACTTTGTTTCCTATAGGGCTGGGGATTGAACCCTGCTCACGAGTCAAGAACTCTGCCAAGTAAGCTACAGCCATATACATACCTCCCAACTCCCCCATAGTTTGAAACAGGTTCTCACTATATAGCTCAGGCTGTCCTTCCATTTTTCTTTTAATAGAGACTCATTCCATAGCCCTGGCTAGTCTGGAACTACTCAGACTTGGAATGGTCCTTCCTGCCTCTCACTATGGTTACAGGGAGGAGCCATTGCCCTCAGCCCCCAGGTTTATCTTCATGGTCATCATCCCCCATTCCCAGGGTAAAATCCCCACCTCACCATGATGTCACTGGGAAATGATTGTTATGAGGTTGGAAGCCTCATGAATTGAAATAGTGTCCCTATGAGAGGAGCCCCAGGAAGCTCTCTCACCCTTCCTGCCATGCAGGGGACATCCAAGAAGACAGCTGTGTGT